ACAAAGAACTCAAAAAATTAAACAATAAGAAAACAAATAACCCAATCAACAAATGGGCCAAAGACCTGAACAGACACTTCTCAGAGGAGGACATACAATCAATCAACAAGTACATGAAAAAATGCTCACCATCTCTAGCTGTCAGAGAAATGCAAATCAAAACCACCCTAAGATACCATCTCACTCCAGTAAGATTGGCAGCCATTATGAAGTCAAACAACAACAAGTGCTGGAGAGGATGTGGGGAAAAGGGTACTCTTGTACATTGCTGGTGGGACTGCAAACTGGTGCGGCCAATCTGGAAAGCAGTATGGAGATTCCTGGGAAAGCTGGGAATGGAACCACCATTTGACCCAGCTATTGCCCTTCTTGGACTATTTCCTGAAGACCTTAAAAGAGCGTACTACAGGGATACTGCTACATCGATGTTCATAGCAGCACAATTCACAATTGCTAGACTGTGGAACCAACCCAGATGCCCTTCAATAGATGAATGGATAAAAAAAAAATGTGGCATTTATACACCATGGAGTATTACGCAGCACTAAAAAATGACAAAATCATAGAATTTGCAAGGAAATGGATGGCACTAGAGCAGATTATGCTTAGTGAAGCTAGCCAATCCCTAAATAACAAATAACAAATGTCTTCTTTGATATAATGAGAGCAACTAAGAACAGAGCAGGGAGGAAGAGCAGGAAGAAAAGATTAACATTAAACAGATACATGAGGTGGGAGGGAAAGGGAGAGAAAAGGGAAATTGCATGGTAATGGAGGGAGACCCTCACTGTTATACAAAATTACATATAAGAGGTTGTGGGGGGAATGGGAAAATAAACAAGGAGAGAAATGAATTACAGTGGATGGGGTAGAGAGAGAAGATGGGAGGGGAGGGAGGGGGGATAGTAGAGGATAGGAAAGGTAGCAGAATACAACAGTTACTAATAGGGCATTATGTAAAAATGTGGATGTGTAACCGATGTGATTCTGCAATCTGTATTTGGGGTAAAATTGGGAGTTCATAACCAACTTGAATCTAATGTATGAAATATGATATGTCAAGAGCTTTATAATGTTTTGAACAACCAATAAAAAATAAATTAAAAAAAATAAATAAAAATATAACCCTTTTTTAAAAATTGAAAAAAAAAATAAACAACTAAAACTAATAACTTAGAGGTGAAAACATTTATTTTACGTCATAGTTTTAGAGAATGCAGTTTTTGGTAGGCTCATTCCTACCATGGCATAAACATCATAGAAGAAGGACATGGAGAAAAGGTGTTCAGCTTTAGGGAACCAGGCAGTAAAGAAAGACCAAATTACTGAGAGAAGGTAATCAGATTCAGGGCTACACTTGTGACCTACTTCCTCCAACCAGTTCTGTCTTTCCACAAGTCCAGTTAGACTAATATACTGAAGATATAGAGCACTCATGAAACAATGTAAAGTCTATCTTTTAACCTTCCTGCAACTGGGGACCATGATTACAACATGTGTGATTTGGGAGACATCCTAGATAAATGCATAACAGTTGTCAAAGATATTCTGATAAAGTGACCACGCCCAAGAAAGTCAAAAGTGGGAAAGGCAGAATCCAGTGAATGTTCTCTCCTTTCTTACCATGAGAAACATTATCCTCTTTAAAACAATTATTTTTGAAAGGATCATCCATTATTCGTGGGGAAATAACAATTAAATCACTATGCCAGTTTCAAATAGTGCAGGGAAAGGAAAAAAGATATTTGAGGACTTGTGGAAAGAGTTCAAAATTGAAGGCTTCAATGTCAGCTCAGTGAGCAGTCAGAATGGGGGAATGGGGATCTTCAATTTAAAATCCTGCTTCTCATATTGTGAAAGAATCAGAGAAAATGAATGAACCCTGAGGAGAAAGGAAGAACTAATGTCCTCAGTCAACAAAGCTACTCTTTGACTTTTTGTGTACTCAACACAAACTGTGGAGACATAGAAATATCCAGTAATAGCTCCTGGCAGACACTGTCCAGAAGTTTTAGCTGCTGGCTCATCTGCCACAGCATGTCCCAGAAGGGTCATAGGGTCATGAGGTCAAAGCAGTGGTCCTTGATCAGATGAATGTAAAAATAATTTTAGGCAGGACACAGTCTCTCCACAGCTGATTCACCCTTTCTTCAATGAGCTACCCTCATCATTTCAGTATTCCCAGCTAAACATATTCTTAACTATCTGGCATTCTAGGTATTTCAGCATGCTTTCTAGAGTTCTGCATGACCTGCACTTCAGAAGAGGCCTCTACAGAGTTACATGGACCTCACAAGCAGAGAAGACTCCAGAGTTCCAGAGGCATGATAGACAAAGTGCTGTGAGGCTGTAGAAGGACGACCCCTCATTTATGACTGCTGACCCAGTTGAACAGTTCACACCAAGAATTCATTACTAGACAGAGTTCCAGGCCCCACACAGACATAGAATAACAGTAGACGCAATTCAAACCCTGCCTGAATGATGTCAGAATAATACATCCTTAGCTGAAGCTCTTCTAAACCTGTTTCTTCTTTTCAAGGGACCTTTGCATTTTATCAGAGCTTTACCTTGGCTTTCAAGAACTGGGAGTTTTCTTACCGTTCCTTTAGTGGGCTACTCCTTTATTTTCCTTTCGGACATGGAATCACCATTGTCTCTATGTCATATTACAGAGATAATATTCAAACAAGAAAAATCTGGACTCTGGACAGAACTGCACAAGAAAGAACTGGCTACCATACAAAGGAAGGAGGTAGTAGAGGCTGGTGGCTGTACAATCAAGGCTTCTAACAATTGTTCTCTCAGTCTATTTTCATCAAAGAAAACCAAAGATTTTACAAAAGGAAAACAATTATTAAACACATAAAAATGGGAGTTGGACAGAAGCACTACTTTTAAATTAAATAAAATAACTTATTAGCTCACTTAGATAAGGAGTCTGTTTGAAACACATTTCAAAAAGAAAACCTACTCGCAGAAGAATATACATTTACACATTCCAGATTCTAATTGATGAAGAGTAGCTCCAGAAAAAGCCATTCTCTGGAGATGAGGCATGGGAATAATATGCTTTAATTCTCGGAGCTTAATATCCCCTCTGGTCCTTAAGATTTTTTCTTTTTTTTGAGAAAATTAAGCAAGCCCAAAGAAGAAACTGATAAATTAAACTCCACTAAAACTTAATTGTGTAAACTAGTATTATTTCCTCCTTAAATTGTTTCTAAAAGCTGTACACAGTGTTGCATGCCTGGAATTCCAGGTACTCAGGAAGATGGGGGCCACCCATAATATTCTCATTTGAACAACATTGTGTTCATGAACTACACATTGTGAAAATTTTGTGGATCAGCTCTGTTCATCCAGCATCAATCTCCATGCAAGTTGCTGTATCTGTCAGTACGTTTGTCCATGTTATTACTCCGTGGTGTTCCATGGCGTGGACATGGAGCCCTTCATTGGCCACCCCTGAAAGTACATTGGGGGTGTCTTTAGTTTTGTGGGTGCTTTTGAATCAAGCTGTGACATATGTGATTAGGGATATTTTGGAACTGTTTCTATTTTTCCAGCATAAATGCCAAGGAGAGCCACTTTTGGGACTATGTGTAATTGTTTAAGAAAGTGACAAATCTATTTTTAAAGTTGCTCTATAACTTTACATTTCCAACAACAATATGTAAAGTGACCCAGTTTCTCTGCCTTTTTGCCAAAATTTGTTTTTTTTTTTTTTTTTTTTTTAGTGTATTTATTTCAGTCACTCTGGTGGATGTGGATTGATTTCTCACTGAGGTTTTCATTTCTATGTTCAAAATGGCTAATGAATGTTTTCCATGTCTTTACTTTCCCTCCTTCTGTTTTCTTGAATGAATACAGTTGATCTTCCTGTAGATCTTGTATCCCATGATCAGATTACAGCAATTTGTATCTTGTAGGAGCTTTTTGATAGAATGTTTCTATATAGACAGTTGTGCTGGACACAGCTTTATATTTTCCTTCAGAGTCTGGTTTTATTTACTTTGCTTTATTGCAGTTTCTAAAACTTCTGGAATTTTCCTTTTATTTAAAGTGTGATGAGTTTTCATCGTGAGTGGTATCGAATTATATCCAGTGCTTTGTTTGGCATCTATTAAGATGATTATCCATATCTTATGTATCAACAAACTAAACAAGAAATATTGAATTTCAAAGGCTGATACATCCTTACGTTTTTAGGATAATGCTCACTTGGTCATGATGTATTGTCCATATTTTATATGGCCATGATCAATTTATCAAAAATTTTAGAGGTTTTGCATGTCTTCTTGAGGTATATTGGTCTATAGTTTAATTTTGTGATGCCTTTTTTCCCTTTAAAAAACTCAAATACCAGTGGTCTCATAGGATGAGGACAGAAATATTGCTGCATCTTCAAGTTTTTGCAACATTTTGTGTAAACTTATCATTATTTCTTTTTTAAATGTTTGGTAAAAATTGGCACATGGGTGCATGTCTGTAATCTCAGGTACTCAGGAGGCTGAGGACGACCGGAGGATTGCAAATTCAAGGCCAAACTCAGCAATCCAGTGAGAACTTTTCTAAAAATGAAAACAGCTAGGGCTGTAATCCCAGCAGCTTGGGAGGCTGAGGCATGAGGAATGGGAGTTCAAAGCCAGGCTCCACAACTTAGCGACACTCTGGGTCTTAAAAATATACATATAAAGAAAAAAGGGCTGGGGATGTGGAACAGTGGTTATGTGCCCCTGGGTTCAATCCCTGGTACTGGAGGGAAAATTTTTAAAAAAAGAAAAGAACAGCTAGTGGTGAAGCCCTTGCCCCCTACCATGTGTCATGCTCTGGGTTTAATTCTCAGTCCAATTAAAACAATAATTTTTTAGAGTTCACCAGTGAACTGTCTTGAGCCTAGGTTTAATGGGAATGTTTCAGCCAATTCAAATTATTTTAATAGCTATAATTATTTTAACAGCAATTTGTATCTTGCAGGAGCTTTTTTTTTTTTTTTTTTTTTTAGGTTTTGCAGGTCATATTATTTAGTCTCTGTTTTGTTTTGTTTAGCAACCCTTTAAAAAACATAAACCCATTCTTGGCAGGTTTTAAAAAAAAGAAGGCAGCTACATGCCAAAATCAGGCACATAACCCAGACTCTTATACAGAAGAAAGGCAGTTCTCAACTACTAACTCTCCCAAACACAACCAACTCTCTTGCAATTTTAAATAATTACAGCAGGAATTAGGGGTTCAAAAGACTGTAAGTAGAAGATCTAACTTTTCAAAAAGTGAGTTGATAGCTCAGAGGGCCCAAGTGACTTGCTTATTATACCATAAAAGCCAAATGGACACTTTCTCTCCTTCCCCTTCCATTTCTGGAATGCTTGTTCAAAGCTGAGGACTTCCTTTAAAATAAAGTACATTGGAGCTTTAGTGCATTCACAGCTTAAAATATCTGTTTTACCAAATATTTTTTTCACACATTCTTTTTAGCATGTTCAACAAATTCACACTAAAATAAGAATCATGGAAAACCTGTAATAATTTTTTTAAAATATTGGACTAGCAGGAGGCTTAAGGAGGCTCAAAATTCAGTGCAGCCAGGTGGGGCAAGCTGGCTTCTGAGTGGGAGCCTGAGCAGGCTGCTGGCTGGAGGGGCAGTGCAGGATTCTGAACATTCCAGAGAGCAGAGTAGGTGCCAGCCAATGCTCCTCCCAGAGTTCTCCTAGAACACTCAGGGCTACCATGCAAATGCCTTAAAGGAAGAGTCTGATCCTGACCATCCAACATTTACCCTCTTGCTGTAACATTGAATTACCAATTACTTTAATGCCACTTCCCAGAGTTGATCATGTGTAAAAACTAGAACATTCTTCTCATTTTTCTTCAAATGGTAAAACTAAAGTTATTCTTTGTATCTGAGTTTCTAGTTGTTACCCGTAAGCATTTCTAATTAAAAGCTACTTTTATTATAAATGAAGAGATTTTTTGAAGCAAAAACAGAAATATTTGAAACAAACTTTACCTAAATTTAGACCATGAACTTTAAAACTACATTAAATAAGTTTACTACTCTGTACCACAAAACCATTTCGTGGGTGTCAATTCTGTATATAAGGTTTAAAACCTCTTGGACCTTTTAAAATATATAATATATAAATCTGTAAATTATTATACAGATTTTGTCAATATTATTTTGACACATCATGTACCATCCATCTTAAGCAGCAGTATCACCTATCAACTCCTGAAATATCACAATTCCATCAAGTATAGATTCACCCAAAAATTTCATTTTAGATATGAGTGAATATGTTTTCACCATACCCTGTTCTTACATATCAGGTAAGGAGAATTTGATTCCTTTAAGATTAAAAACAAGCATGTTCTCTTCATTAAAAAAGATTAAAGAAAAAAAATCATCACTTCTTAATGATTCATAAACCACTCAAGTCTCCTTTTTATTCTACTGTATTTAAAAATTGTTCTTCCTGAAGTTTCAATTTAAAGTCCTCTCTAATTCTTTCCAGCAATTCTGGTTTAAAAATAACATCCAATGCAGTCATTGCTAGAGCCTTGGCTGTTCGCAAAGTGTAGAACTGAGCTTCTTGTGATCCTGCAGCTTTAGTGTACTCTTCAGTATGATTCAAGGCGTTGGATCCAATGTAAAAATATGGATGAATTCCAGGGACCACAAAAGAAACATTTCCAAAATCGGTAGATCCTGAAGTGTCATTCAGCATTGTATCTTCTGAAATGAACTCTATTCCCAGCTTTTCTCCATTCTCCATGTAAGCTTTCCATAGGCTCTTGTTGGGTAGAACATTGTAATAATCATGTGCTCCACCTTTAATTTCTACTGTGCACCCTGTAGCCAAAGCTGCAGATCTGAAGCAATCTTCTGCCTTTTTGGTCAAAACTTGAAGTTCTTTCAATGAGGGTGCACGGAAGTAATAAATTAATTCAGAGTAAGAGGGAATGATATTTGGTTTTACACCACCATTTTTTATTATACCATGAACTCTCCAGGTTGGTTTCATTTGCTGTCTTAACACAGACAAATTGTTGTAGGCAAGAACAGCAGCATCTAAGGCATTGACTCCTTCCCAGGGGTAAGCAGCAGCATGAGATGCTTTTCCATAGTATTTCACAGTCACATCATGTTCGGCCACATCGGGTAGATAAGCAGCATTTTCTTGGGATGGATGGGCCATGAAAACAACATCGAGGTTTTTAAAAGCTCCTGCTTCAATTAGATCAATTTTGCCTCCACCATCTTCTTCTGCAGGGGTTCCCAGGACACTTATCTTCACCCAGGGAGGAGGCCCAGGGAGGCTCTCTAGGGCCCCCCTCAATCCCAGAGCGGCCGCCGCCCCAACCTCGGCTATGAGGTTGTGACCGCAGGGGTGGCCGATGCCGGGCAGCGCGTCATACTCGCAGAGGAAGCCCAAGTGCAGCGCGCACCGCGTGGCGCTCGGTGTCTCCCATTCTGCGCGAAAGGCGGTCGGCAGCTGATAGTGCGGCTGCACCACCTAGGAGGCGGCCGGCAGCTCCTGCTAGAAGAAGCCCGTCAGCCCAGGTCCCGCAACCCTTCAGGACTCCGCCCGCTCGCTCAACCGCACGGAGCGTCCCGCCGCACTTGCTCCTTGCAGGAGCTTTTTGATAGAATGTTTCTATATAGACAGTTGTGCTGGACAACTTTGGGTTCTCTCTTTCTCATGAAAGCTTTAATAATTCTCGTTTTTTAAAGAAATGTAGACACATTTCTCTTTTATCAAAGTTGTTGAATTTGTAGGCCTAAAGCTGTTCATAATCTTTCCTTATTTCTGTATTCTTAAAGTTCATTGGCTCTCCAGTGATATCCTGATTTTTACTTTCTAATGTATTATATTGTGATAAGAGAACATAGTTTGTAAATTAAAATCCTTTTGGTTTTTTTGGTACTTGTTTTGTGGCTCAGACTAAGGTTGTGTCTTAAAAGTATTCTTTGCAAGCTGGGCCTGATGGCACACACCTGTAATCCCAATGGCTTGGGAGGCTGAGGCAGGAGGATTGAGAGTTCAAAGCAATTATTCTTCCTGGTACCCTGGAAACCAATGAAAATTGGAAAATTGTCCTGCTGTTTGGGTGGAATGTTCTGAAAATTGAGAGGAATGTTGAGATCTCTAACAATAATTGTGTATTTTTCCTGTTTGTTTATACTAGCTTTTTCCTTCATATATTTGGCACTCTTTAGGAGGGTAATGTTGAAGATTACTATGTGCTCTTATGAATTGACACCTTTCTCCCTAAAGGACCTTCTTTATTCCTGATATGATGGTATCTGCCTAGAAGTCTACTTTGCCTCATAAACAAGAAATTGAGAGTAGCATCCCTAGTAATAGGACTGAGTGACATCATCATATACCTCCTGCCATGATACATGGAATAGGTACTTGACACCTAATCACTTAGTGACAAGGAGTGCTTTGTTCTTGAGCACCTTCTATATATTATGGATGGATCCAGCACCCTCATATCTTCATGTCCCATCCTCCAGACCACTCTGCAGGTGGTGGAGGTGATGAAATTGATGATGAGATCCTCAAGTGGGGCATTCCTTGCCCAGTGGAGAACCCTAGATGGAGATACCAGAGTCTGACTTCAAAGCTCTGTTGGTTCTGTTGGCCTGTTCACAGTGCTCTGCCTAAGGTGGTGAGCTGTGGGCTCATGGTGCCTTTTCCTTGGGTGAAATAAATATTTTCTTCAGAAGGGGAAGTCTCACAAGCGTGTCTTATGCTTGCTTCTCAGCTGAAATTAATCTGTGTAAATCTCATGGGGGCTCACCTTGGTCAGCAGTGCGGAGCAGAGGTCAATTAATTGCCTCAAATGGTGTCTGGCTGATCTTTGCCTTCAAGAGCCAGACAGTTGTACCTTCCCCCACAAACATCATCTGCAGTGTCCTTGGAGTTTTCCCATGTTCCCTAGAAAAGGGGCTGTTTTCCCAGGTTCACTGTTTCTAAGGAGTGGCTGAATGGTATTTCTTCTAATCAAGCCAACTAGACTCCTTGTCAATGCTTGAATCATAGCTTCTCAGTCACAGTAGGCTTACACAGGAGTTTATGTTACTGACAGCACCTATAACACCAGTGTTTGTGGTACACAGCACATTTCAAATACGTGGACTAGGTGGAATGTCCCCATGCACAGATGAGGAACTGTGCTTCAATGGGATGTGTCACCAGTATGGCATCACTCAGCTAAGAAGAATAAGATCAGGATAGGGCCCAGGCCTTCTGACTACAAATCCATTACTTGGACCATGCTCAATCCTGCTTTACTTGGGATCCTGGAATAGTCATCCCTCCCATAATGTTCTGGACCAATCCTTGTGTAGAAACTGCTGCCTCCTGAACTGCCTCTAGGTTTATTGTTTTATTTTTTTATCACCAAAACTTTCAAACATACATGAAAGCATGGTGAGATATGTTTCCACGTACCTGCCCCTGCACACACTTCAGTAGTTATCACTACCTCTGGATTGCATGTTTGACAGTTTCAACATGTAGCACTAAAAGATAAAGCTGTTTCATTATTTGCTCTTTACTTACTCTTTTACCTTTCTGTTTAAGAGTTTGCTTGAATCAAATACAGATAAATGCCACACATTGTAGTTTTTGAGCAGTGTCTTTGTTTATTCCTCTTTTTTCCTTCTTATTTATTTATTTTGGTACCAGGGATTGAGCCTGGGGTGCTTTACCACTGAGCCATATCCACAGCATATTTTTGGCTTTTGAGACAGGGTCTTCCTAAGTTTTTCAGGGCTGTACTAAGTTGCTGAGGCTGGCTTTAAACTTGAAATCTTCCTGCCTCAGCCTCCCAGGTCGAGCTCCTGGGATTATAAGTGTGCTCATTTTTATTGTTATTATTTATTTATTTGGGGGATGGTGCTGGGGATTGAACCCAGCCAGGGCCTTGTGAATGCTAGGCAAGCACTCTACCAACTGAGCTATATCCCCATCCCCATCCCCTTTTTCATTTATGATTTTTATTTGATATATATAAATACACACACATATAAAATATGTACAAATATTTGTGTGTGTATACACACACACACACACACACACACACACACACATATATATATATATATATATATATATATATATATACATATAGTACATACATATATAGTATGTAGTTGTAGGATGTAATACCTTTATTTTATTTTTATTTGTTTTAATTTTATTTGGTGCCAGGGATCAAACCCAGTGCCTCACACATGCCAGGTGACCACTCTACCACTGACCCACAGCCCCAGCCCTCATTTATTTTTAAATAAATAATTCAAATACAAACATTGTGTGTGTCTGTAATTTACAGCTTACATGTGGTTTTGAGGTGTATATGCATACATATATACACATATATGTAATCTTGTCATGTGATTCTTTCTGGAAGTATCCCTGTTCTCTGATGGCAGAACATGAACTAATAGTTCCACTGAGAAACACTTTTCCACCTGCAACTGTGCCTTGACCTCATGTCTTTTAGGAAATTTGTGGGGAGTCTGTATTGTTCTCTGATCTTGCGGACTTGGGTTCTGAGAACCCAAGGACTTCTACCTGTCTGACCTGTAGTTTGATTGGCAGCTGGAGCTTGATGGTTAACACTGGAAATGGGACTTTGTCAAATGTACTTCATGGAAGCCTGAAGATACATTAGGCTTTCAATGGTAGGTTGTAAGTATATTTGTGTGTGTGTGAGGGAGAGAGGCAGACCAGCCTTTCATTACACTGAAATATTAAGACATGAGACTTAAATAATGTGGATTTCAATTAAGCATTTTGCAGAATCAGATTACGAATGCCACAAAAGTCTTCCATGGTGAAGATGAGTTGCTGAACACTAACTCATGCGTTCAGTAGACATCACCTGCATACCTCCTTGGGCATTGAGCTTTGGTGATTTCAGGTGGAATGAAGAGCTCATCCTTGGGTTCGGTGCACAGTCATAGACACTACATAGGGCAGAAAATTTTTGATGTTCTGGGTAAACATCCAATGACAGACCACCCTGCCTTTCTTCCTAAAATCTTTTTTCTTTTGCTACCTTTCTGGCCATCCATCCAACCTGCCATCACTGGTAAAGAGGCAGCTCATTCAGCCTACTTTTTTCTAAGATGGCTTTCCCTCTCCAGTGCTGTCATGGCATCCTATATTATTTCTCTCATGGGTCTCTCAGTTCTGGTCTCAAGACTATAAGTCCTGGGGGTGACTGTGTTCCAGCTTGTCACTGCTAATCACTTTCATCTTTGGGAACCTTGTATTTAGGATGAAATTGGCTATAGTGCTTGGGCTGAGTCCAGGGGTTCCTAAGCTCTACTCTGAGCCCCAACACTTGCTGCATTTTTTATCAGTGAGAGGAAATAGGTGCTGATGAAACCTGCATTGTGGAGGTGATGTGAGGAGGCAGCATACAGTATGGGGATGCTCAGTGCATGTGGAAGTGTGACAGCAGGACTTGCTTCCATGAACGTGACAGCTAAGACCACTATTACTTATTGAGAACCCAAAATGCCAACATGGATGAGAACAGATCGAAGCCTCGGGCTAATGAAGAGTGTGGCATGTGAGCAAGAGAAAGGTGGAAGGACAAAGCCACGTGGCCAGTGATCACCTAGTACTTATTCTGCACTAAAATCTGGTGGACAGTGTCCACTGGCATTTTCAGGGACCCCACAGGAGTGGGCCAATGGCCAAGGTCAATAGAAAAAGGCATATTCTTACCCACATGCAGTAGACTCTGGCAGAAGGGCCTGGTCCTACCTGCCATGTATACAAGCTTTAAATTCAACCCCAGGGCCAGAGAGATGGTGATTCTAATATATTTCCCCAGTAGGCTCTCTGGGTGCAGTGGCAGTAGTGAAAGGAACAATCAGCAGAGTGAGCTTGCCCATACCTGGCCTGGCTACCCTTGAACCATGAAAGCCTTCATCCTAAGCCTCCTTTTCTCCAGTGTAAATTGCCAGGATTTGGCATGCTTATGCAAAGTAGAAAATATGTCATAAGCCACGGTCTTCCTCAGGTTCCAACGGCACCCACTGTGCCTCTCCTCTCTGGTGTCATATTCACATTGACCTTCCCTTTGTTCTCCGGTAGGACTGATGTGTATGACTGCAAGTCTTCCCATGACACAGTAGTCCTTCTGACAGATGCCTCAGAACACCACTCCTGCAGTGTTGTTGGGCTTCCCAGGACAAGCTGTTCAGGCTGGGGTTGGCCTCAGTGCAGCCCAAGAGTCTTCTTTACCATCCTGGGGGAGGTTCTTATTGCACATCACAGGCAATTAACAGGGCACGACATACCGTATAAGCACAATTAAGTCTTCTGTTCTTATTGACTTTATTTTTTTTTTCAGGTCTTGTGCTTTCTTTTTTCTTTTTAATTTTTTATTGTTGGTTGTTCAAAACATTACATAGTTTTTGATATATCATATTTCACACTTTGATTCAAGTGGGTTAAGAACTCCAATTTTTACCCCGTATACAGATTGCAGAATCACATCAGTTACACATCCATTGATTTACATATTGCCATACAAGTGTCTGTTGTATTCTGCCTTTCCTATCCTCTACTATCCCCCCTCCCCTCCCCTCCCCTCTTCTCTCTCTACCCCCTCTACTGTCATTCATTTCTCCCCCTTGTATTATTTTCCCCTTTCCCCTCACTTCCTCTTGTATGTAATTTTGTATAACCCTGAGGGTCTCCTTCCATTTCCATGCAATTTCCCGTCTCTCTCCCTTTCCCTCCCACCTCTCATGCCAGTTTAATGTTAATCTTCTTCTCATGCTCTTCGTCCCTACTCTGTTCTTAGTTACTCTCCTTATATCAAAGAACACATTTGGCATTTGTTTTTTAGGGATTGGCTAGCTTCACTTAGCATAATCTGCTCTAATGCCATCCATTTCCCTGCAAATTCTATGATTTTGTCATTTTTTAATGCAGAGTAATACTCCATTGTGTATAAATGCCACATTTTTTTTTATCCTTTCGTCTATTGAAGAGCATCTAGGTTGGTTCCACAGTCTTGCTATTCTCATTGACTTTAAATACTAATGTTTGTTTGGTTGGTTTGTGTACCAGGGATTGAACTCAGGGGCTGAGGCTGGCTTTAAACTATCTTCCTGCCTCAGCCTCCCGAGCCGCTGGGATTACAGGCCTGCGCCACCACACCTGGCTCTTATTTAATTTTTTTGAACAGAAAATGATTTTAATTAATTTGCATTGGCTATATTCCGTTGGCCAAACCTAGCATTAGAAGCAGAAAAAGGGAGGCTTGTCCTGCCCAAGTTAGGAGGGTGCTGCCATTTCTGTGTATTGGTGTGGTTATATTGTAGTTAAGAATTGGGGCCATCAATGCTATCTGCCCCAAGGAAGTGTTTTCCTATCTAGCTTATTTTTTTTCTCTATTTAGTTCTTTCTCATAAACTTCTATTAAATGTTACCTTAGGAAAGGTTGACATAGTCTTCAATACAAATATTGTTATCTATTCCCTCCAATCTCCATGTCTATCACTCTGCCATTTATTTACTCCCAAGTCCTGACCACAATATTATATTACTGGGTCTATAGTTTGTCTCACTAAGCAAAACATGAGCTCCCCAAAGACAAATTTGCTTCTGTCCTGTCCTACAAGATCCTGAATGAATGAACTGTGTATCTGTGGGTCTGGGGAAAATTTTTCAGATAAAGACAAATTCCATGTCTTTCAGCTTGGGAACTCCATTTTGAAAATGCCAGAATGTCCATCCCAAATGTACTTGGAGAAGCTGGGTTCAGGTTCAGGATGAATTTCTAACCACAGTCCTGTGTACTTATCAGTTTTTCAATTGTGGCATATGTGCTTCCACCTTCCGTTCTGTTCTGTTCTGGCATGAGCATGATTGGCTCTCTGGAAGTCGGCATACTTGCCTTTCTCCTAGAGGAGAGAATCTATGGTGGATTGAGAATCTTTATCTATGAGAAGTCCTCTTTTGCCTTGAGTGAGGGATGGGATTCTCCTTCCTTAACTGTGCCAGGTCTTTGGGTACAGAAATGGTAGGAAAAATACGAGATCCAGGGCTGGGGCTGGGGCTCAGTGGCAAAACACTTGCCTCGCACATGTGAGGCTATGGGTTCGATTCTCAGCACCAAATAAAAATAAATAAACAAAATAAAGATATTGTGTCCATATATATTAAAAAAGAGAGAGAGAGAGACCAAAAGAAATTCAAACACAGGGAAGGCTTTATTGGAGATTTTGCCGGATTAGCAAGAAGATGCATTTCTGACTGAAATCCTGCCAGGCTGACCTTGAGTAAAGGGAACTGGTTTTATTTTTGTGTATTTGTTGTGGGGCAGGGGTGGGGTTGGGGGGAGGGCCGGGCGCCTAGAGTCTAGGGTTTTCATTCCTTTGGGGCATAGTTTCAAAAGGTGTTTCCTTTTCCTGTGCTAACATTTAAGGCTTTGGTGATCTGGCAGTCAGCTTGGAGCCTGGGAACAGTTAGATTCCTTCTGCTAGTATAAAATTTTGAGTAACAATTGAAAGTGTGAGCTTACCTTCAGTCTGAAGCAACAGTGCCTCAGTTCATTTCTCTAGCTCATCCCTGGAGACTGTATGGTAAGTCATTCTGGTTTTAAGAAGCAGTTGGTTTTCTTAATTTTCTTTTCGTTTGTAATGAAGATTAAACTTGGACTGGGCCTGGTGGCTCAGCCTGTTATCCCAGCGGCTTGGGAGGCTGAGGGAGGAGGATCACGAGTTCAAAGCCAGCCTCAGAGACTTAATGAGGCCCTATGAAACTTAACAAGACCCTGTCTCTAAATAAAATATTGAAAAGCCTGGGGATGTATGTGGTTCAGTGGTTAAGTACCCCTGGGTTCAATCCCTGGTATCCCCGCCCCAAAAAATAAATAAATAAACTTGGTATTATTCCACTGAGCGACATCCCCAGTCATTGTTATTTTTAATTTTGAGATGGTGTTGTGCATAGGCAAGACTTCCCGGAAGGAGTTCGCTGGCCCCCTGCACATGCTCTTTCACCTACTGTAGCCTACGCCTGCACCTTCCCAGTGGAGAGAGGGACCAGCTGGGCCTGGCCAGGCCTCTGACGCAAGGGCCCGGTACCTCATGTGTGTGCAGCGGCGGTGGCGCTCCATCACACGCCGAGGTAGCGGACCAGTTGCCCCTCGCCCACTGTGAGTGGCTCGCGGCCGGTTCTAGTCTCGAGCCACAGCCGCCAGGCAGTTCCAGCTTGTCTCCTAGTGTGGGGCAATCCATTCCTGCCGTCTCTGGCTTTGCTGTCCCCGCTATGGTGCCCTCCCCATGCCATAGAGTCTGGGTGCAAACCCCGGGTCCAGTGGCATACGTGAGGGGGTCAGTGGGAGATGGGGGTGTGGTGTGACTCGGTGGTGGTGGTACAGTCCCCCATCCCCGTGACACAGTTAGGGTTGTTGGGTGTTCCACATGGAACCTCGCTGGCCGCCCGACGTACTGCCCACTGTGCCTGGGTCTTCCTGTAGCGAACGGGTAGTACTGCAGGGGAAGGGCCCGGGCTGACCTCAACTCCACTAGATTCCTGACCATCCCTACAGTTCAAGTCGCTTGTTCGGCTTCGCGCCATGGGGAGGTGGGAACACCCGGGAGGCCGTGGAGCCATTCCAGGCCGCTGGATTGTGGTGCTGGGCATGCACCGTCGTGAAACCTTCCCATCACCACTGGGTTCTGTTCTGTATGCCTTGTCTGCTGGCCATCCAGGAAACAAGCTCTCCCTCCCCGCTCAAGAGGAGGAAGTTCCAGTGCCATGCCAGGAAGGGATGTGGTGGGGACCTTCGGCCTCTCCCCACACACAAAGAACAATTCTGCGGTGGATCACTTGGCTTCTGCATCCACAAAACATGCAGCTAGCTGCAAGAATTGATGTGACTTGCAGAACACAATCGCCTGGGAGTTGCACTTACCCTCCCAGAAGGTCATTCCTCTGAGGCTTTTCTCCAGGGCCGGCCTCGGGCGCCACTTGCTGGGAGAAGTGCATGTTAGAGAAAGCACCGCTCTGTGTCCTGGTCACCATTGGTCTCCTTTCCCTGCTCCTGCTGCCTGCAGGCCACTGACTTGTGCGCCCCCACCCCTGCGGCTCCTGTGGCCACCACAGCCTGCCTGCCCTGCCAGAGTGGGGCTGGTAGCCTGGAAGGAGGCACCCGGGAATGCTTGATGATGGGGGACCTGTGTAGGGTGCTGCAGAGAGCCCTTCCTCCTTGCAAACAGGATGCGGCTGCTCTCGCCAGTGTCATTCTTTGCAAGCTTGTGGGGAACCTGGCTCTAAACCTGCTTCTGTGTAGGGATTTAGTAGGTAGCAGAGCACCTCCCTCACTGGTATCTATTGAAAGTTATCCCTCCACACAAGGGTGTGTGTGTGTGTGTCTGTCTGTCTGACTTTGTCTCTCTTTTGCCGCCTGTGCTCATTGCCAGCGCTTCCAACTGTCTTTACACACTGCCCTTGGTCCCCCTGGCTGGTGTTTGAGGGGTGCACCCCTGTCCCCACCTGGAGGGGCCTGGCAGATTCCCAGGCTGGGACCAAGTCTGGGGAGGGGAGGAGAGCAGCTGGGTTCTCCATGTCTTGGCCCTCGCCTTCCCAGCCAATGAGGCTGGAAGAAGAGAGGGGCCCTGGCCAGAGCAGGTGCCCCTCTTCCCTCCAGGCTCTGGGGCACATTTTTCCTCCTGGGAGAGAGGTCCACCAACTGTCCCGGTTTGAACTTCCTTTTTCTTCTCCTTTTCCATCTGTCTGTCTTCTTCTCCTCCTCCTCCTATCTTTTTTTCTTTCTCTCTTCCCTCCCTCCTCTCCCAGGTCTTTTCATACTCATTTTTTAAAGGTACTTTTTAGTTATAGCTTGATTTAGAATGATTGTACAAGTATTTCCCATTCTTATTTTTACATAGGATAATTATTTCGGATCCCTTCTGCCGCAGTCTGGCTGGGCACAAATGCCGCAGTCTGGCTGGGCACACAATCACGAGCCACCACACAGCTTGTAGATTCAAACAGCAACTCTTTATTCCCGAACTCACACCAGCCGTCTACAATCACGTTCTGGGGAAATCCACGTTCTCTGCCCAAATCCACGTTCTCTGCCCAAATCCACCTCCACTGGGCTTCTATCTCCAAAATATACTGTCTGAATCCCGTGAGAACTCAAGGGGAACTCAGGCAGCAGGATACGCCCTATTCCCAGCAGGAATAATCTTAAACCTTAAACCTGGAACCTAAACTGGGAACGCCCTAAACAAGATTATCTTAAAACCGGGAACACCCTAATCTGCCTTGGTCCTTGAGCAAGGTTAAGTACATTCAATGTCACTGCAACATGGGGTACGCTGGCAAGGAAATTGTCATACTTACTTGGCTAATGGCTCCCAGCATCTCCCCCCTTCTGATTAATTAAACAACACGCAATGTGGCTTAAGGACCGTGCCTGGTAGGTTGTCCAATTCAACATATGGTTCTTACCCGTCATCGGAAAACTGACCTTTAGGCGTCAGCCTCCTGTCTTAGGTTGATACCACTGCAATTGAATCATACCTGTCACTGACTACCGGTCCAGCATACAGCCATACTTGTGGATAGGTCTATGCACCAGTGGGGGGGTGAGGTTCTTTGCCTCACCTCTGTTGGCCCCCAAATTTGGCCTTGGTGCCAGTGGGGGAGTGAGGTTAATGTGGCTTATGGACCGTGCCTGGTAGGTTGTCCAATTCAACATATGGTTCTTACCCGTCATCGGAAAACTGACCTTTAGGCGTCAGCCTCCTGTCTTAGGTTGATACCACTGCAATTGGATCATACCCGTCACTGACTACCGGTCCAGCATAAGCCATTGGCCCCCAAATTTTAGACCATCACTAGCAGAAGGGAGGAGGATACAGAAATGCCACGACACCAAGCCAATTGAGGGCTCCTTGGGAAAAATTGCATCACTGGTGACACCATCAGCAAAGATATGCCAGCATTACCACAATTCGCTGCACCAAACGATAGTTACATAGTCCAGGCAAGTTCTGCAAGCAGTTCAAAGCAGAGGAATCTATCAATATGTCCATTTCCTCCCAAAATCCGTTTCCTCCCAAAGTAAGTTAACTCCTTGATTGAGCATTACTTGTTGAGTTCTTCACCGGCACTGGGATGGAGATAGGAATTCTGGCAATGATGCTAAAGAGACATTATCCTGGGGATACGCCCTATTCCCAGCAGGAATAATCTTAAACCTTAAACCTGGAACCTAAACTGGGAACGCCCTAAACAAGATTATCTTAAAACCGGGAACACCCTAATCTGCCTTGGTCCTTGAGCAAGGTTAAGTACATTCAATGTCACTGCAACATGGGGTACGCTGGCAAGGAAATTGTCATACTTACTTGGCTAATGGCTCCCAGCACCCTTCCACTGTCTTTCCTTTTATTCATTTTTAATCAGATACATTAAATCATTACTTTCCTGCCTCTGGACCTTTCTTTTTAGGGTGGGCAGTACTTGGGATGGAACCTCAAAGCCACAGGGGGCGCTCGTGGGTATTTCTTTTGTGTGTTTGTTGTTTTTTCCTTTTTTAACTACTTCTGTATCCCCTTCCTTCCTTCCTTCTCCCTCCCTCCCTTTCTTATATCTTATGGAGATACTTCCTTACCCTTCTCCCCTGGACTCATCTCCTCTGTCTCCTTGTCTGTCTCTCCTCTCTCCCTCTCCTTTCTTTCTCTCTCCCTCCCTCCCTTCACTTTTGCTTAGGTGTTTTTTTTTTTTTTAATCTACTCTTATCTCCCACCCCCCATCGTCGCTTATGGTGGGGAACTATGTAGTGTGGGACTGATTATGTGTTTATATGGCCTTCTCTCTCTCTCTCTCTCTCCTTCCTGTCTGTTCCTCCCTCTCTCCCCCTTCCTTCCTTCTTTTCTTTTCATTTCTTTCCCAGGGTTGCCTGACCACTGGGTCACATCCCCAGTCCTCTTCATTTTTATTTATTTTGAGAGAGGGTATCCCTAAATCGCTGATGCTGGCATTAAACTTGCCATCCTCCTACCTCACCCTGAGATTACAGGTAGAATTGTGGATGTATGCCACCACACCTGCCCAGGTAGCTCCATTTGTACTTTCCTGATGGAACCCATACACATCTTGAACTAACTGTGGTTCCTCTCTTCTCCATTCTCTTCCCTTTTATTTGGTATCTTTATTTCTTTCTTAATGGGGTGGGGCACATTTCTTGCTTTCCTCTCCTTTCTTTCTTTGCCATGGAAAACTCTCTTTTTGCTTGCCTATTCAAAAGTGAGGTCTGTCTAGGTTGCCCAAGTGTTTCCCATGCCTCAGCATGTCTTGTGAGTAGCTGGGGCCGTGGGTGCTAGACTCAATACACTGTTCCACCGATCTGATTTTTGACTGCTCTTATTGTTCTGTTCCAGAATATTCGGCTCTCCTTTCTTCTTCTTCTAAAAAAAATGTGGCATCACATGATATGTGACCAGATTGGAGGCATCGGGATTTTTTTTTTTCCTCCACAGCTGCCAAACATGCAGTAGGACACATCTGTACCTCCCACACTGGAGGATCTCTAAAGGACCTTCAAAGAAAATACAAAATAGAAGAAGTGAATCCTAGAGATTCTTCCCATGAGATCCCTCTCTTTCTTCCACTCTTTTCTTCGGAAAAATGAAAATCCAGGTTTAAATAAATAAAAAGAGAAATTTGAAACACAGACTGGATTCTCTAGGTGCCAAGTAAGTCTGCAGATAAAATTAGGTCAATCCTCCGTGGATCCCAGAACAAATCTGCAGGTACTCAATGCCCTGCCTTCATGCCCACACCAGACCAAAGCCCCTCCCTCTAAGGTCTTCCCAGTCCACTACTCCTGGACACCTAACCTGCCCTGTTCAACCCCGCCTGGAATGGGACATAATGGCACATATGCTGTCACATTTTTCCAGGTTGGGTTGGGTTTGGTCCCAGGGGAACAGGCCAGAGAGTAGGAGATTTTTTTGTTGTTTTTTCTTTGTATTGGTGACAGGCACATCTATCCAATCCAGCTGGAATGTAGGGTGGGATAGGGTAGGGTGGGGTGGATGTAGAAGGGAACAGCAGTGTCCTGAACCAGGAAACCCAGAGTAATTCCTTCAGAAAATGGGTGGAGGAAGAGAGGGAGACAGTGGATGTTCTGGTGGGGGAGGGGCAAAGTGTAGGAATGGGCGGTGTTTACAATTTCAATACACACTGTTTATAAATACAGCATCAAAGCAGGGACATAACAGAGTGGTGGAAAGCAATCTAACAAGAATGTGAGTTTCCCTCTTTCCCTCCCTCCCTCCCTCCCTCCCTCCCTCCCTTCCTTCCTTCCTTCCTTTTCTTGGAATGATTTAACCAAGGATTGATCTCAGGCCCAGCAGGCCCTATTCTGTGTTTTGTTTAGAGACAGGGTGTCACTGAGTTGCTTAGCGCCTCGTGTTTTGCTGAGGCTGGCTTTGAAATTGCCATCTTCCCGTCTTAGCTTCCAGAGTCCCTGGGGTTACAGGTGCCCGGCTCCCTATCTTAATAAAATGCAAAAATAGGGCTG